ACCAGGTTTTGGTGAAGGCCACGGTGCAGCCAGTGAGGGAGGGGAGCTGGAGGTGTCAGCTTGCAGTGACCTCCTTTCCAGAATCTTCTGCAAGGGCACTGACACCCTGTGCAAGGGGCTGGGTGGGGCTGGGGTGCTGGAGAGGGGCTTAGGAAGCAGTGACCTCACCTGGGGCCTGGCCTCCTCCGGGGCTCAGAACCACCTCGGCAACTCTCAGAGGGTGGCCCCCGCCGCTCCCCAGGTGGAGAACAGAGGGGGGCCATCTCAGAGCCAAGCCTGGGCTCAGCCAGCTGACACCTGTGGCCCCTGGATAAACTGTCAGCCACAGAGCGGGAGCAGATGCGCCCGCTCCCTACCCGACCCCGTTCCCTTCAAAGTGGGAGCTCACCTTGGGGGGTGTGAAGGGGAAGTCTGTCCCTTGCTGTTCTTCGCGGAGGCAGCACAGCGGAGAACTTTCTGTGCCTGTTGGCATTTGCACCCTGCCCTGTGCAGCTGAGGCCAGTGCACCCCAAATACAGCCACAGGCCTGCACAGTGTGGCCTCTTGCCTGACCACTTGGCCCGCCAAGGCCCCAGACTTCTGCTGGCCTCAAGACTTCTGGATTATGAACTCCAGAGGGGTCATCAAGGTGCAGGAGAGGGCCAGTTGAGCCCCAGGGTGCCCTTGTCCCTCAGCCTGTCTGTCCTCCAGGCGTGGCACGCCCTCTGGCCACCACACCTCACCACTTCACATCCCACAGCGTCCCCTCCTGCACTGCACCACAGGTTGTCTACGTGGACAGTGGAGCAGGACAAAAGAGATGAAGGGTCACTTTCAAGACTAGGCACACAGGACTTGGTAGCCAGCTGGAGCCCTCGGGGGAAGCCACCTGGGGCAGCATGAGAGGCCATGTGGAGAATCCTTTGTGGGCAGGAGTTGTAGCCTCCTGCTCTCGGTCACCTGAGCTGCCTTCCTGGAGCAGATCCTCAGCCCCAGCCAAACCTGCTAGCAACTGTGGGCCCAGCCCCATCTCGGCAGCAGCCTCCTGATTCCCTGAACCAGAACCACTCAGCCTGGTCATCCCTGATGCCTAACTGTGGGAGAGAATAGAGTTATTATTTTGAATGGATCTTTTAGCATCTTTTCTTTCTTTCTTTCTTTCTTTCTTTTTTTTTTTTTTGGTACTGGGGATTGAACTCAGGTCCTTGCACTTGTGAAGCAGGTGTCGGAACCACTGAGCTAAATCTCCAGCTAGGGTTATTATTATTTCTGGGTGGCAGGGTACAGGGGATCAAACTCAGGTCCTTGCACTTGCGAGGCAGGCAGCGGAACCACTGAGCTAAATCCCTGGCCCTAGGGTTATTATTTTGAATGACCAAGCCAGGGTTGACTTTAGGCATCAGTAGAGAGGGGATATGCTCCCCTTCTATCCTATCAAGGATCTGAGGTGTCTCTCCACCCATGCACCCTCTGAAGCTCCCTGAATCCCCAAAGCTCTGGCCCTCTAGGCTCCAGTACAGAAGAACCCTGGCTTGCAGGTTTCTCAGAGACACTGAGGCCAGGGGTGCAGCACTTACCTAGCATATGTGGGGCCCTGGCTTCCACCCCCAGTAATCCCCTCCCCCCCAAAATCCTTAAAAGATGTCAAATGATCCAGGCATGGTGGCGCATGCCTGCAATCCCAGCACTCAGGAAGCTGAAGCAGGAGGATCACTGAGTTTGAGACCAGCCTGGGCTACATAGTTAGTTTTCCAGGTCAGTCTCAACTACATAGTGAGACCCTGTCTCAAAAAATCAAACCAAACCAAACCAAACAACAACAACAAAAATATGTCAAATGAGCCAGGTGCTAGGTTGCAAACCTGCAATCCCAGCATTCTGGGAGGCTGAGGCAGGAGGATCCAAAGTTTGAGACCAGCTTGAGCAACTTAGTGATTTAGAAAGACTCTGTCTCAAAATAAAGTAATAAAAGGGCTGGGGATGTGGCTCAGTGCAAAAGCCAGCATTCAGCATCACAGGAAAAAGATGAGAGAAAGAGAGAGATGTATCAAATAAATTAACCCCAGCTCCCCGGAGTACTCAGAAAGGGATAAAGGTTATCCTGCTGCCTGAGGAGTGGGCTCATAGAGGAGGAGTAGAGTAGGAATGCACCCCAGGGAAGATCTCATATGCCCGCACAAGCCCCCTGCCTCCTCTTCCTTGTGCAGTTTTATTTTGGGGAGCTGAGGAGCAGGTGGCCCCCAAGGTGCCTTCTCCTCCTGTCTCTTCATGAGGGTGCCTGGGGAAATCCCTGCACCAGCCTTGGTGAATCTTCGAAGACTCCTCTCACAAGCCTAAGGCCATAGGATGTTGCTTGGTAAAAAGGGAAAATGCCACCCACAGAACTTTCCAGGAAACTCTGCCCATGAAAACTCTGGGACTGCAGTAGTCAGGGTGCTAAGATGGCTTTGGGGAGGGGCCTCGCGGAGGAGGGTGACCTGATGCTTTGGAGCCTCCAGAGGCCCTCAAGGACTCCACTTTATGCTATGCCACAGTCATCTCGGGCACGGCTTCCTCCCTCTGTGCCTCTGGCTCTCCACCTGTGACAAAGCCAGAATCACCACGACTGTCCAGAGGCTGGGAACCCAGGTGCTTTAGGCACTTCAGTATTCCAGCTTCAGAGGGCGCCCCCTTTTCTTGGAGGCTCTGCACAGAATCACATCCCTCTCTCTGCTCTCTGTCCCCAAGTCTGAGACTGAGATGGGTTGTCAGCTCCTGCTTTGTCCCTTAATGTCACTTTGCCTGTGGCATATAGGCTCAATGGGACACTGTTATGACTTAAATCTAGATGTCCCCCGAAAGCCTCTTGTGGTCATAGGTGAGGAGGCTCACCTATGGAGGATGGCTGGTTTAGGGTGTGTGAATGAGGATTATGGATGTGATACTGGGATTAGGGTGTGGATAATGGAAGCCCCATCCTGGGTACTGGTGATACCAGTCAATAGGCTCGGAGCCTGCGTGGAATGTAAAGGGGCAAAAAGAAGGCAGACTTGCCAGGCATGGTGAGCTACATCTATAATCCCAGCACTAGGGAGGCTGAGACAGGAGGATCATCATGAGTTTGAGGCCAGCCTGGGCTACATAGCAAGTTTAAGCCCAGCCTGAACTACATAGTGGGACTCCATCTAAAAAAACCCGAATAAATAAATAAAATAAAAAGAAGGCAGACTTGCTTGCTGCCTGCTGTCCTCTGCCTACACTGCCATGGACTGTTTCTCCTCTGATGCCCCTCTGCCATGTGCCACCCTGCCCTAGAGCCAGGTGATTAGGGACTGAAACCTCTGTACACTGAGCTGAAATAAACCTTTCCTCCTCCTTTAACTTGCGGGTGTTGAGTATTTTGTCTCAGCAACAAGAAAGGTAACTAACACAGACACCTAGTAGGGCATCTGCCACGGCTCTGGGTTGGCCTCCTGCAGACTCCCTTCTGTTTGCTTTTTTTTTTTTTTTTCCTCTTCCCTTTGGTACCGGGGTTGAGCCTGAGACCAGTGGTGCTCTGCAGTCAAGGACCTCTCTAGTCCTTCTTATACTTTTATTTTGAGGCAGAGTCTCATTAAGATGCTCAGGGTGATGTTAAACTTGTGATTCTCCTGTTTTGATCTTTCAGTAGGTGGGATCAGAGGTGTACACTCCTGCAGCAAAGTCCAGGGCCGACAACCCTCACAGGTGGAGGTCTCAGGCCTTGGCCCAGATCTGGTGGTTCCAAGGCCTGAGGCCCAGTGTGGTCTGCAGAAGGGGCCACCCACGTAGGCAGAAGACTGCTGTCTCCAAGGGAGACAACCAGAAGCACTGACAGGTGGGAACAGTCCATATTTTTGTTTTTATTGTTACTGGGAATTTAATGCAGGACCTTTGCACTGAGCTACATCACCAGACCCCTCTTTCCTCCACACAGTCTCTCCCTAAATCATAAATTGCCGGGATTGGGCTTGAACTTATGATCCTCTTGCCTCAGCCTCCCAAATAGCTGAGACTGCAGGTGTGTGTACTGTGCCTGGCAAGTACACCCATTTAATAGGTGAGGAAACCGAGGCTCAGGGAGATTGGTGCAGTCATAGCAGCAGAATGAGCTAAGAAGGCAGGATTCCTGACTTCCAGAGCTGCAGCAGCAGCAGCCAGCTGTCTTGGCTGCTTTTCTCCCTGTCTGTGAGTTTTGTTCACAGTCCTGGCCTTTGTCAGGCTCGGATTGTAACCTTGCCAGGACGGGCACTGTATCTCTGGAAGCAGGCATTGTTCAGTCCCTCTCCTGCAGGGTGCACGGGACATGTGACAGCTGCTTGGTGCACACTCACATGCTGCACGCTCAGTGTGCACACCACAAAGGCAGTACCTGCCCAGGCCACGATCCGTGGGGGTGGGGGGATGAGCTCTGCCGCCGCCCCAGCCGGCCGGGACCTCCTGCGGAGCGCAGAAAGCAGTGGCCACGGGGTGGCAGTGTGCTCTCACGCCGGCGACTAGAAAAGCGACCCTGGCGGAGGAATGTGGGGCGGGGCCGAAGCCGGAGCTTCAGTCAGCTACTGGGAAGGTGGCGAGTCTGATCTCCCCGAGACTCGATCTCCCCGATCTCCCTGGGACGTGTGCGTGTGCGTGTGCGTGCACGCGTGCAAACATGAGAGGTCTGCTGCAGCCCGGGGGCTGAGCAGCAGTGCGGCAGCTAGGCACGGGGTGAGCCAGAGGGACGAAAAGATAAAGGAAACCAGGGCAGCCGGCACAGTGGCGGGGCGGGGCGGGGCGAAGGGTATAGAGAAGAGGGCTTCGGAGGTAAGAGGGGAGGGCTTTTCGCAGCTTTAGGAAAATCATTACCCGGGAGAACGCGAACAGGATAGAGATCTAGGGAGAGACAAAGGAGGTAGAAAAGGGGAAGCTGAGGGAGACTGGCTGGGGAAAGTAGGTTAGGAGGCTGGAGTGGGTGAAGGGAGTCCCCCGCCCCAGACCGGGAGAGACAGGAATCTTCGCTGCACAAGAAAGAGCCAGACTCTGGCTTGCTGCTGACGGGTTTATTTGGAGTGAGCTGCTAGCATCTGCTGCTGCCTTCGCTCCAGGTCAGAGCTTCCCGGGCTCCAGCTGCGGCTGTGGCTCCAGCACAGGCTCTGGCTCTGGTTCCGGCTCTGGCTCTGGATCCTGCTCAAGCTCCTCTACCTTGCTCTGAGCCTGAGAAGGGCGAATCCCAAGCTCTAAGGCAGAAAATCTTCTCAGTCTCCTCTGAGGAAAGAGATGGAGAGAGATGGTGGGAGGAGGAAGGGGGCGGGACAAGAAGGATACTTGTCTAGTTGGTCCAGGGCCTCCTCAGCCTCTTCCCAGGTACAGAAGGACCCTGAAATGCAGAGGCCCAGGAAGAGGGGCTCTGATGGTGGCCCCAGGGCCCTCCTTGATCATCTTTCCAGACTCACTCTGAGAACTGAGGAGAAAGAAGCCAGGGGGGAGGGGGCATGTCTCTGGCTCACCTGTCTTTTCCAAAGGTGAAAGCCAATTGCGCCAGTCACCAAAAGGAGCATTGAGAGGGTAGCCAGGGTGAGAAAGAGAGGGAGCAGGCCCACATGAAAGGTACCCGGGGCTCTCCTAGAGCGCTGGGCACCTACGGAGAAAGCAGAATTAGGCACAGGTCAGGAGTGGATGCCACTCCCCCACCCCTGACAGACACAGTGGGGTCCAGAGAGTTTAAAGGACTTGACTAAAATTGTTTGGCTAATGAATGACCCAAATGGGTCAGGCTGAAAAGGAGTCTGAGGTCAGGTCCCTTCGGGAGTGAAAAGAGCTTGTCAGGGTGAGTGGCTGGGGTGTTCGGAAGGGGAACTGAGGTGACTGCTGTGGAGTGGGGGCTGCAGACCTGGGCTAGACTCTGGGACGTATACCGCTGTTCCAAGAAGCCTCTCCTCCTGGTGCAGCTGGCACTGCCAGGGCTGGGAAAGGAGCTGGGCCTCTGGCATCTCCAGCCAGGGTCCTGGGGAACTCCTTGTGGACCACCTGTCCAGGGGCCTCCACACAAAGCGCTCTTGTCCCGATGCTGGGGTTACCTCACACATTAGCTTCCCCGAGGAGCCAGGAGACCCAGAGGATTTGGGGGTCACTGAAAAAATTAGAGGGAGATCTCTTGGAGTCCTGATGTCCTCACTTGCTACCACAGATTAAACCCCAAGTCTCAGCCACCCTGCTCCAGTGGGGTTCTGATTGAGCGAGGCTGGGAAGAGGAAAGCAGGTCATGGCCGGATTAATCTTTTTGTGAGGCCCAAACCCAAGGCACTTTACCACTGAGCTACATTTCCAGCCCTTTTCTAATTTTTGTTTTGAGACACGGTCTCTCTAAACTGCCCACGCTGGCCCTGAACTTCTGATCATCCCACCTCAGCCCCCCAGAGTACTGGGATTACAGGTAGGCACCAGCATGCTGGGCCAAAATTAATCTTAACACCCCAATGCTCTCAGTCAGGTTGCTCACTTGCTCCAAAACATTCCAGGCTCCCCACCACTTTCAGGGCAGTGTTCAAACTCAAACTGTGTTATTACAGATTCTTTTACACTACTTTCTCCTGAAATTCTCAGCCCCTTGGTATCAGTTAGATGAGCTGGTCTCTGACATGCTTTGCAGTTTTCCTCCTTCCATGACCTGGCTCCTGTCAGCGCCCCTGCCTTATGGTGACTCCGATGCATTTCATCTCCCTTTCTGGATTTTCAGAGAATGGTGAACCAGCCCAGAGACAGCATTCCCCAAGTGTTCAGGGATAGGAAGGGGGACAGGAGGAGATGAGCGAAGAAGGGCCATGGCCTTGACGTGGCTGCAAGGAGGGGGAAGGTTTGGTGACACAGATACCCGAGTCTGGCACTTTCTGCTGTGACTTCGAGCCTGTTCCTTTTTTGTAAAGCAGGTGTGGCTATCTTGACCACTGAATTAAGAAGATACTAGACAGAAAGAATGAGTGGGCTTTGGTGACTGAATTGATTTGGGAAAAGAGAAGGCCAGGGCCTGGGGAATTGGGATTCCAGTGAAGTAAATAACAGGCTAAGTAAGGAAAAGGTAGGGCCCGAGTGTGGCTAAGGATGGTGTAATAGCTGGAGAGATATTCAGGGAGCAGGCAGAAAGTCAGGATTGCACTCAGGACCCACAGTATTTGTTAGTTTACTCATTTATTCATGTAGCCAAGGTACCTATAAGCACCTACTGTGTGATGCTCCTGTTCAGTGGCCTCAGGTGAGCCCCTGAGATGCAGCTAACCTGTCATGGCTGATGCCAATCAGTGAACACACACTTAAAGTTTTTCTGTGTCTCTTTTTTACTGTCTTGGAAAACTCTTGCTCATTAAATAGTTGTTGTCCAAGAGACCGATTTATCACCTCCTTCCAAATCCAGGCCACTTCCTGTAATTTTAACCCCAGCCCTGGCCCCAAGGCAGACTAGGATTCTAGAAACCTATTCCTCCTCCTTTGAAACATTCAAGTGTTTGTCACCTCCCTTTCTAACTTCTCAGACTCTCCCACCAACTCAGGGCAGGGGAGTCCCTTAAAGAAGAATGGAACGCTTGTTCTGTGACTCAAGGGGAGATTTTCAGTTTCAGTTCTTTATCATGGGGGTGAGGAAAGAGGCCACAACTTGTGCCCAGTGGCCTGGCATCCTGGGGCAGATCTGCCTGGCTTTTCACCGGCAGCCTTGCCTCCCTATCCTTGCCTTGATGGGACAGGAGCTGCCCCTTTCCCACCTGGGACTGACCTGTGATGACTGCCAAGGTGACTGTGGCACAGAGCTGCTGCCCCTGCAGATGGATGCGGCAGATGTAGGTCCCAGCCTGGGCCAGGCTCACAGCCTCCAGCCGAAGAGTGAAGTTGCCATTGTCTCCAGCCACCAGGATGTCAGCGCCTCCGCCAGGAGGGGCCCACTTGGCAACCAGGGAGGACTGGGTTGCCACAGCAGGAGGCAGGTGGCACGGTAACTCCACCTTGGAGCCTGCTCCAGCATATACCATCAGGGGTGCTGGGGGCTCCAGACCTGGAGAGGAAAGGGAACCCAAAGTTAAAGCCAGGGGCACGCAGTGGCGCTGGAATGCTGGAGAGCAGGGGCCCCAGGGAATGAGGGTCGTGTCCCTAGAAGGGAAGAGAGGCAGAAAAGTAGAGGAGATGGGGGCTGTGAAGAGGAGCAGGATAAGGGAACAGAATAAGGGGAATGAACCCAAGATGCTCAGAAACCAGAGTTGACCAAGTTGGCTAGGCCGGCAGACCAAAGCCTGGCAGGTGAGGCAAGATGGCCCAGGGAAAAACTCCAATGGAACCAGCACTAAGGCCTCCTGCAGGAGAAGGGGCCATACAGAGGGGTCCAGGGCACCCAGACACAGAGCTAGCTGCACTGTGGAGAACCTAGTTCAGGGACCCATGAGTCAGGGAGGAGATGGGGGGCAGGAAGGGGTTGTGGTCAAGTGTGAAGGCGGATGAGGGAAGTTACCCCGAACTGTGAGATTGTGTGTGATCTGGACTTCGAAGCCGTCTCTGTAGGTGAGGGTGCAGCCCCAGATCCCAGAGTCCGCGGGGCTAACTTGGGGCAGGAAGAGGAAGCCTTCTGCTAAGTGGTGATGCAGCGACTCCTGGACTGGGACGCGGCCTGCACCCCGGAACCAGTGGACAGAGGCTGGGCGGTCTGGACGGCTGAAGGAGCAGTTCAAGATGACCCAGTCGGAGGTCCTGAGAGGTCCCACAGGGCTGGCCACCACTGGGCAGGGACAGGAAGTCTGCATCAACGCCAGCATGGCTACCACTCCAGCTGGAGGCCACGGGCCTTCTCCTCCCTTCTCCAGTGCAGCTCAGAGCCAGAGGTGTTAAAGTGGACCCCTAAGAGTCCCTGCCTCCAGTTTTCCTGGCTCCTCCAGGTCTCCAGACCTCGCTGGGGGGAGGCGCTCCCATTAACCTCCCCCAGCACAGAACTGCACAGAATCACTGCAGCCCACCCAGCCCTCCCCACCTCCACCGGGCGCTCCCAGGAGGGTGACCCAGGGGCTCCACGTATTCCTGGGGGCCCTTGGCCAGGGCTCCATGTTGTGGGAATGGAGCCCC